ATGTATACATGTATACATGTATATATATATATATATCATTATATCATACATTTTCTATACATGCAAGAGGAGGACAACAAGAGCTTTTCCGATTCCGCAAGAGGTGAATGCCTTGGAGCAACAGGCGGAGCTGGCAGATCTGAAGAGGCAGCTGGATGCCGCCACCACGCCGGGACCCCCCGGAGGGGTGGGAGGGTTTACAGTTGAGGGGTCAAGGGTTTTGGGGTTAAGGGTGCAACACCTCAAGAGGCCTGTAGAGAACAAGTGCAGTGCAGTCCCTGCTGAACCGAAAGGTATAGAGTTGAGGGTTTACACGATGTGCTGCGAGGGACTTGGCCGGGCGAGCTCCAACCTGCGTAATAAAGGGTTTACGGTGGCAGAGCAGGCATGGAAGTGCAGTTGTGAGAGCTGAACCTCAATGATGCTGGGGGGCAGAGCAGGGATGGCCGTTTTCCAGCATCTCTTCCGAACGGTTTCAGCAAGAGAATCTCAGCTTACGCTAAATAGAAAAAGCGGCTGACGAAAAAACCCTTCGCCTCCTCTAGACTCTAGAGAATGATGCGAGTGCAGGCCTTAGAGGCCTTAGCTACAAAGGCTGGGGCAGCGCCAAGAGCAGCGGCTTCGGCAGTGCAGAACCCAGCTGCCGGGAGAGCGTATGTATCGGCGCCAGAGGCACCTGCATGTTCGCAAGGCATCGAACATCAGTGCGAGATTTATCGCACCAGCTCGAGGAGCGCAGCATGAGTTGTTCGGTGGGTTGAGCTGGCTCATTGGTGGCTTCGGCGGAGGAGTTGGAGCAGCGCGTGGATGGTGCAACAGGCTCAGGAGTTCCCGAGGTGCTCAGTCCAGCCGGGCGACCGGGCGATGTTTGCACCTTCTGAGGTGCAGAAGCGAGTGGAAAATGTGAGCAGAAGCATTAGCCGTGCCTAGCCGAGACGGGAGTCGAAAGCTGCTGCTGTTCCACCATGTGTTGGTCTGCAACAGGTTCTGCAGAGGCGGTGGGTGTTCAGGACTTGCTTATGCCGTCTTCCGACAGCTGTTCAGTTCTCATTTCTCGTGTCGAGGAGAAACGGGGACAGCAGCTTGACCAGCTGGCACCAACCCGAGATCCACATCTCATCCGCAGCTTCGGTTTTCCAAACTTGGTGGCATTGTTTTGTGAGGCCAATTCTTCTTCACTCAAGCGTCTTCACCTCGGCCCAGACAGCAACGGGCAAAGCCTTCAACAGTTGTTCTCACTTCCTGCATTAAGTGCATCAGGTGGTGCAGCCTCGGCCCTTTCTCATGGCTCGCCCAATTCAACGCGTGTTTCAAACTCCAGCCCGGGGCCCGGCTTCACAATGAGCATCTGGCAGAGCCTCCGTAGCGAGTCTGTCGAGGAGCAGACGTCAAGATCGAGGACAAGCTCGAGGAGCTGGAGAGGACAGCCATGCTGAAAAGACGAAGCGAGCCTACCAGCCTCCACAGCGCATTAGAGCCTCTTCAGGAGACTCTGGCAAGCCACGCAGGACGCAGTCAGCACAGAAACCGAGACACCGGCAAGGTCCTTCCTTTGCCAAGTCGCGTTTGCACACGTATGTGGGGTAGACATCGTGAAATCTTCATTCCAGCAGTCTCATGCCTTCTGTACTGCTAGTTCGCGTTGCCCCATGGGCTTTGCCGTTTCTTCTGCTCGTCGTCGTGCAGGAGTTTGACCGGCGCTTGACGGAAGAGGTTCGGCTAAGTTTTGCTGAATTGAATGGAGGAGACTTGGCGACTTAGTGAAGGTTTGGAGCACACTCAGGGTTCAACAGTTGGCTGTGGAATCTCAGCATGTGTCGCTCCAGTATCTGGGCCTGAAATGACACGAGAGGGAGCAAGATAGAAAGGGAGACACCATGATCTGACCCTGGAAGAATCACTTTTGGTGCGGCTGCCTAAATTGCGTCCATGTCGGGGGAGGCTTGTCGATCTGATCCTCTCGATCGAGCATCGCCACAGAACTTGAGCAAGGGATCAAACTCCTGGCCCCGCTTTGACATGCACACTGAAACAGATCCTTCACTGCCTGTCGGGTGCCGTTTGGTCTGCAGCCGTGTCCTGCGCACTGTCGGTTTCTGCAGACCCTGCTGTCGATCTGGAACTTGCCAACCTTGGGGTTTCAGGACTGCACAACTTAGGAAGGAACCCAGAAGAAGCACGACCAGAAGGAGAAGCAGAAGAAGAAGCAGAAATCCTTCAGGGGCCTGGGAGATACACAAAGCGGTTCAAGCGGGCGGGAGGGTGATTTGTGCATCAGGAAGCTCCGCACATACACCCGGCCTCGCCATTCTTGTGGCTCGAATTTGTAGCCTCACAACAATTGCCCGAAGAGCCCCAAAGCCAGGGACTTACTTCAGCTTGAGCTTGCGGATTCGAATGTGGAGGATGTAACGAGTCAGGTGGAGGGCTCGGCCTTGCCAATGTCCTCGGCTTCTTCGGATTCTGCATCCAGCTGAGCAATGATGATTTGCTTCAGCCTGCCGAATTCACGCTCAGCCGTCGAAGGCCAATGTCCCCTTCACCACCGTGCCGAGCTCAGCTGGTGAAGAGGTATCTGTTCGAAAGAGAGCGCGGCGAGTTGCATCTTCGTGACACTGGTACTTGCCAGGGATCGCTGTCTATAGAAAACGTTTTCGAAACGTTTATGGGGATGAGCGCTGGGGACTCCTTGGCCCTTGGCTGCGGCTGAAGCTTGCGGCTCCAGGTTTGAAGAGTCGGCGCAGTTGATTTGTGCAACTCATGGGTTCGATACCGTGCCAAATTCTGAGTCTATGTCATGGTTCAAGGCTTCGTTTTCGTTCAAGGATGTTCGATAAAAGCAAGTCTTGACGTACCGGGTGCCTGATACCCCAGAGTCCTTCATGTCGGCTCGTATGCATGATCCGAGAAGATCAGGTTGCTCCGTCCAGTCACCATGGTGAAGGCCACGGTGCGCTGGCTCAGCTCGGATTTGCGAATCATCCGTGCGCAGACACACAGACTGGACGGATGATGATGACGCACCTTTCGCTTGAGGTGACCACTCACACGTTCACATCCACGGCCCGCTAGATCGCGACAAGGCATGTGATCGGATGCAGGCATGTTTCTGGTCCGATTACCCCGGCAAGGCCCTGGGAATCGGAAGCCTCAGCTTTGAGCCGGCGACCTGGGACACGGCAAAACACCATTTTTTCAAGCCCGTGCTTGGCGTCTGCAGGCCCATCTTCAATGAGCGCTACAACAAAAATCGGGTCCGGGCTCGGGTGTCTGGTAAGCGACGACCTGTGCTGGTTTGAAGCCAGGTGGCTCAAGAGACGAAGGGATTCCTCTTCTTGCAGCGAACACTGCCCATCATGCTGCTTGGTGATGTGAATGGGGGGATGCCAGTGGGAAGTCTTAGGACGTTGCAGCTCAGTCATGCTAGTCTCTTTGGCATGGTACAGCAGCATCTGGAAGAAGTCCTGGGACGAGGATCGGATTGCTGACGGCAGGGACTGCATGGGTGGTGCCGTGTCTGCAGCCATCCTTCACCCACTCGTTTAGATGTGCCTATAAGTGAAACAACAGGTGGGCCAGGCCAGCGAGTTTCTTGGATCGAAACGCACAGAGATAGTCAACCAGACCATCGTCCGGATCTTACCTGTGGGTTTCGAAGAGAGCCATGGAAGCTCTCAGCAGAACTTGAGGTTGAGCGGGGATGGTTCTGGGCTTGGTGTGCAGGCCGGTGTGCGTGACACTGACGTCTCGCTTCTGCATCCCATAGGCATTGGCAAACTAGGTTCTTACGGGTTCCGGTCAGGCTCATCAATGAAGGCGTTGAAGCCTTCCTAAGGCTTTGCCAAGCGTATCACCAAGGGTGTGCAGTCGCATTTAGGGGGGTTATAGGCCAGCCATTTGGCCAATCGCAACATATCGCTGGTCTAGCATTAAAACCACACACTGGCATCTTTGCGCAGAATTCTCCTTGATGACAATCCTTGCCTTGGCCGGTGGTTTCTTCGTGTGCGCCCGGCTTCAGATCTTGTCAACAGGCATGACTGTAGAAGAAGCTGCAAATGCAGGTACTGCGGTGACATCTCCGGAACAAAGACAGCAGGGTCTGAGACGCAGCACTTGCAGCGTACTGTGATGGTGTTCGAGATTCTGCGCACAGATCGGATTTGGCACATAGTTTTGAAGCTTGGGGCTGCAGGCTGCGGCTTGATGCCAGGACGCTTTCTGCCATGTCTTGCTCAGGTGCCAATTAGCAAAGCCTACTGGGTTGTAGGAGTCGACGCGAACTGCAGCATGGCGCCCTCATCGATTTGCGTCGCCGAATGTGTTCTCGGTAAGCCCCAGAACGAGAGCCCCCGAACACAAACGCCTACTTCCACACGCAGTATGCTGGAGAGCGCAGGTAGTCAAGCTACCACCAGCAATGCTCCGAACCCTGTCATGCTGGGCATGAGCAGCACAGGACAGGAGCAAAAAGCCGCTTCATCGGAGTGCTGTGTTCCGACTCCCCGAGTTGCCGTGACCACGTCTCTGCCCGTGCTCTTGGGACGATCCCACGTGACTCAGAGTCAGCGTCAAGATGGTGAAGCAGAAGCTTGTGCTCGTGCAGCTCGCGAAGCTTTCCTGGCAAGACAAGGGCGACGAGCCAGCAGATTCACAAACTTAGTCTAACTCGGCCAACAAGAGGGTCACTTGCTGGTAGTTGCGGGTAAGTGAGCCGGATGCACAGATCCCGGCTCGATGTTAGCCGTGCATGCTTTCTTTCGGCCCCTTCTGAAAGGAAATTACCTCAAGGGGCATCTAATTCGAGCAGGCTTCCTGGCCTTAGCGTGCAACAGTCACGGGTGGCTTGAGGTCATGGCCTGACTGGCCTACTCACGGTGCGAAGACATGTAGGAGTGCCCGGAAAAGCCCGAACCGCAGTTTGCCTGCATCCGGCTGCAGCTTGTGAAGCCTAGCATACTCCCCGTGCAGGTCCTCTGGCATTCCCCAGCTCATTGGCTTGCTCAACGGCTGCGATTTGAAGGGCGAGTTCACTTTGAGGACCCCCTCGAGTACTTTCTGGAACATTAAGCCCACCTCGGTGGAATGAAGCTCTCTGCAGTCTACCTTTTCGCGCCACTTAGTATTTCAATTGCCGCATACTCCATCTTCTGGCGCGTATGTGAGCTTGCCATGATTTGCCTTCTTGCAGGCATTTGCTGGTAAAGTGGTTCGGCGTGTGTTTGGCAGTGGCTTCCGGCTTGGCGGTGGGTCCAGAGGGCCCCATGATTTTCATCGGCGCGGATCTCAACCACTCAGCTCTCGCTGCCGCCTTGCACGGCACAGAGACCCATCGGGCTCCGCCGTGTCTGCCAAGGTGCGAGCATTGGATACCTTTTTTCCAGGCTGCGGGGTTATCCGAATATTCACTGTTGACAGACTACACCAAATCGAGTGGATGCGAATTCCCTTTATTTGTTGGCAAAAAATATTCAACTGTGAGCGTTGCCCTGTGCAAGGTTGCCACAGCATCCCACGGTTTGGCGATTCCTGGGCACTCCGCCGGCAACTGTGGGTCCTGGCCCCGAACTGTTCCATGGACCAGCCCCTCACCACAGCTTCATTTGGCAGGTGACGATGTGTTTACGCGTGACTACACATCGATTGGTGCTGCTTGTGGAATTGCTGCGGCTTTTCGAGCGCCGATAGCCGGGTGCACAGCCAAAACTCTGTGTGTGCAGATGCCGGCTCACATGTCATGTCATGTTGTCAGTGGCCTGCTTCCTCGAACGCCTTTCCTTGTTATTTTGTTCGGTGTATTTCATGAGAGCCCCGGTTCGCTGCTCCAAGGCTGGCACCCTTTTCATCGTTGAAGAAGCAGCTTCCCATTTTAAGAAAGAGCAGATGTCCAATATCTTTTTCGGAGGCTCAGTTATCCGAAGCGGCGTTTTGGACGTAGGTTGGAATTTGCCAGGCCTGGCTGCTCTGGAGGCTCTGACGTTTCAATCTCTTTTGCCACTGCGCTGGTTGTGCTCATCTACGATGACTCTTTTGTCAGGTCATTCTCCTAACAGGGGGTGCAGGAGCAGTTTTGGAATACAAGGCCTTCGGTTTGTTCGGGTACTGTTTCCTGCGAGTCGAGGTTCGCATCCTGCAAGGTCCAAGTCGGCCTTCACTGCAGTGACACACCCTACTGGCAGTGCCCTCAGTTGCTTTGCTGGGCTCGTTCTTTCTGCGCAGATTGAAAGGACGATTCTTTTTTGCGTGGTCATCGGGCTCCTGTGCGGTGTCGTCGGCGCGGCGTTCAATGCATTGAACATTCAGGCAGCTCTGAAAAGTTGGCAGAGGCTTGTCTTCTGCCCTATGTAACCGTCATAGATTTGCGAGGTCATGACGTGGCGCTCGCGATTCTGCAGTGCTGCAAGGCCACATGAGTGGTATAATCGTTCGAGAATTAGAGAAATATGGGGGGGTAGCATCCGGTAGCGCTCCATGAGGCCTGGCCGGCGGGCCATGGAGATCCTGATCCTGTGCCTTCTGAGTTCCACGGCGTGTGGACCTTTGTGGCTTGCGGACTTGCTACCTTTTGAGGTTTGGGGTTTAGAAAGTTTATTGTCTTCACGGTCACTGATGAGTGTCATGATGTTCTGCTATCCTATTTGCAAACTATGCATCTTCTTCTATTGGAGGAATTTCACATTGTACTTACTGTTGAAATCGTCAGTCAGCATTGG